GGAGGGACGGCGCCACAGCTCACTAGGCTAATCCTCCGCCTGTGGCGCCGGCACACCGGGTTCTAGTCCCGGTTGGGGCGCCGGATTCTGTCCCGGTTGCCCCTCTTCCAGGCCAGCTCTCTGCTCTGGCCAGGGAGTGCAGTGGAGGATGGCCCAAGTCCTTGGGCCCTGCACCCCATGGGAGACCAGAAGTACCTGGCTCCTGCGATCGGATCAGCACGCCGGCTGTAGCGGCCATTGGAGGGTGAACCAACGGCAAAGGAAACCTTTCTCTCTCTCTCTCTCTCTCTCACTGTCCACTCTGCCTGTAAAAAAAAAAAAATACATGGAGATCGGTTTTTATGAGTTTGACACTCTGCCTCTGTTAAATAGAGACATTATCCAGCAGTGTTTTGTGAGGCTTGATGGAGGACGCACATATGCACTTAGCAGAGTGACTGGCTCATAACTTGAATTCAAATGGTTCTTCCCCTTCTTGCCACATAAACATTATCTCATTAGCACCAGCAACGCAGTTGGACATAGTACAAGAGGAATTAAAATTTTGAGAGTGATCCAGATTTCTTTTTTTTAATTTTTTTTTATTTATTTGAATGACAGAGTTACAGAGCAAGGTAGAGCCAGAGAGAGAAAGTTAGAGAGAGAGAGGTCTTCCATCCACTGGTTCACTCCCCAAATGACCACAGTGACCAGAGCTGAGCTGATCGGAAGCCAGGAGCCAGGAGCTTCTTCCTGGTCTCCCATGCAGGTACAGGGGCCCAAGGACTCGGGCCATCTTCTACTGCTTTCCCAGGCCACAGCAGAGAGGTGGGTGATCCAGATTTCTAACACTAAGTCAGGCCCCCTAAAAGCCCAGAAATAGCTCTCTGAGCCTCCAGGGTGTCAGAACGGGGCCTTCCTTGGAGAAAAGGTCTTTATGAAGATAATGAAGTTAACATGAGGATGCTAGGACAGGCTGCAATCCAATACGACTATGAAAAGTGGGATGGAGGCACAGATCTGCACCAGGTAGGAACATGAGTGCAGCCAAAGACGATGCCAAAGACCATCTGAAAACCAGCAGAAGCTGGGGGAGGGAGCTCCCGGCCCCCCAGCAGCCATCGGAAAGAGTCATTCCTGTTGACAACTTCCTCTTGGACTACTGCCCTCCAGAACTATAAGGTCACAAACTGCTGTGTTTAGGCTGCCCCGGTGTGTGGCACCTTTTACAAAGACATCAGTCCTAGTGGACTCGAGGCCACTCGAGTTAATGGCCTCTGGGACAATCCCGTCACCAAATAAGGTCGTGTTGCTTGGTCCTGCAGGGGAAGACAACACCCTGAAGTTTGCTGGGGAGAGAGGCAATTCAGCCCTCCCAGTCAGTCAGCCAAGTGCCAGGCTAGAGAGGCAAGAAGCTACCCTAGCCCCAGATCCCATGCAGCTGCTGCTACTGCACACACACCTGTGCTACCTGAGAGAGGAGGGCTCCGTGGGCCCGGAGTTCATCTCCTAACAATCTGTTCACAAACATGACATGAGGGGCTCCCCGGTCTTTCTCATGCCGTCGGTCTTACACAGATAGGCTTGGCACACAGAGCTCAGGGCCATCACCCAACACCTTGTCCCCTGCCCCCTCCTCCCGCAGGTTCTTGGCAGGACACAGGAAGACCCAGCTCCTCCCTGGCTCTCTTCAAAGCATTTTCCTCCTACCTTTGATTTTTATTGGTTTGTGTGTTAAACGCTTTGTCTGTAATTACGCCGTTTGCTGCGTGTCCTGTTTCATAATGACTAATATGAAATACAGGCATAAGCAAAGGGAAGCACGTAATGCAGTGAACATTTAATAATTAGTATTCATTAGGGCAATTATTTTAATAAATTAGACTCAGCTAAATGTAACCATTTTGCCCTGATTTAAAAACAAAACAAACAAACAAACAAAAACCAAAAAAAAACAAAAAACAAATACCTGTCTGGTTGAACATTGCAGCAAGGGAAGAGAAGTGGTGGAAGTAGAGAAGGTGAAGGTGAAGGTAGAAACAGGAGGGGCTGTGGAGGGCAGGGCAGAAGCAGGGAAGGGTTAAAGGGAATTTGGAAATGGAAAACCTAACTGTGTTTCAGTCAGGAGAGTGAACATTGAGAAAGAGCCCCTGAGGGGGCCCGAGCTGTGGCATAGCAGGTAGAGCCACCACCTGCAGTGCCGGCATCCCATATGGGCGCTGGTTCGGGTCTCCGCTACTCCACTTCAGATCCAGCTCACTGCTATGGCCTGGGAAAGCTGTAGAAAATGGCCCAAGTCCTTGGGCCCCTGCACCCCATGGGAGACCCAGAAGAAGCTCCTGGCTCCTGGCTTTGGATCGGTGCAGCTTGGGCCATTGCCACCATCTGGGGCGTGAACCAGCAGATGGAAGACCTCTCTCTCTCCCTCTGTAACTCTGCCTTTCAAATAAATAAATAAATCTTAAAAACAAAAAACAAAAGCCCATGAAGCCCCAGGTCCTTTGCCCGTGTTACCTCATTCGGTATCAGAGTCTTTCACTCCTGCTCCTACTTTCCAGACCAGGAATCTGAGGTTTGCTTGAGCTCACAAGCTGGTGAGTAATGGAACTGGAAGCTGGATCTGTGCTCACTCCAGAACCTACCCTCCTAACCTACTAACTAGAAGGCGGTTACATTTCAGGCTTGCAAGATGGGACTAAATCATCTTCAAAAAAGCAAAAACAAACAAAAACCCGATTTACTGCTCTGCTACCACTCTCTCAAAATTCCTCATTTATTAACAAGGGACTGGTCTGTGGCGCAGCAGGTTAAGCCACTGCCTGGGATGCTCATATCCCATATCAGAGTGCCAGTTCCAGTCCTGGCTGCTCCACTTCCATCTAGCTTTCTGCTAATGCACCTGGGAAGGCATCAGAAGATGGCCCAAGTCCTTGGGTCCCTTATACCCATGTGGGACACCTGCATGGAGATTCTGGCTTCTGGCCTCAGCCTGACTCAGCCTGGGCTGCTGTGGGCACTTGGGGAGGGAACCAATAGATGGAAGACCTCTCCTTTTTTGTCTTTTTATTATTTTTCTCTCTCTTTCTTTGTCCCTCTATCTCTGTAACTCTGCCTGTCATATAAATAAATCTTTATAAAATAGTTTTTAACAAGAGACTACATTGCCATTTTGCGCTCAGCTTCACAAATGATGCAATCAATGCTGGGTTCAAGTTTTGCAGCCACAACAAACAGATCCAGAAATACAGTGACTTAGCCAAGACTGAGGCTTTCCACTGTTTTACGTGGCAGCCCATAGGTATACACAGTGAGATGGCTTTTCTAAAAAAAAAAAAATGTATTTATTTATTTGAAAAGCAGAGTTTCAGAGAGAGACATTTTCCATCTGTTGTTTTACTCTCTGAATGGCCTCAAAGGCCTCAGGCCAAAGCCAGGAAGCAGGAGCTTCATCTGGGTCTCCCATGTGGGTGCTCCCAAGGAGACTTGGGTCATCTTCTGCTGCTTTCCCAGGCCATAGCAGAGAGTTGGATCAGAAGTGGAGCAGCCAGGACTTGAACAGGTGCCCATATGGGATGCCGGCACTGCTGGCGGTGGCTTTACCCGATACGACACAGCACCAGCCCCGAAAACCAATCCTTTAGCACATCGTCACCTCCTCCTTGGGGCTTGGGGTTTTCAGACTGATGCTGTCTGCCAGCCAGCTGCTTCCATCTCTCCAGGTACTGCAAAGGAAGCATGCATTGGTCGGACTTTGAAGTATGCTCAGGGTCTCTGGGCACACGGCCCCAAGGACACTGTGCAGAATTAAGTGCACCAGGCAGGTTCCTTAGCCCAGGATTTCTGAGGCTCTCAGAGGGCTCTGTGATGGCCTCCTTGTGAATTCACCCCACTAGGTCCCTGCCAACATATAAAGGCCTCTGACTGAGACAAGTTTCAGGCAAAACATATTGAAGCTAAGTCAGAAAGGGGCTGCTGGCCAGGCATGGAACTAAACGAAGCATTCTGAGTGCTGACCTGATGCCACTAGTGGAAACCTCCATGCCAGACTTCACGTGCTGATTCACAATCAAAACGCAAACACATTAAAAATAGTACATAACCAAAGCATAGGCAACAAAAGAAACACCAGACAAATGGAATTATACCAAATGCAGAAGCTTTCTCACAGCAAAGGAAACAATCAATAGAGTGAAGAGACATCCAACAGAATGGGCAAACATATTCGCAAGCTACTTACATGATAAGGGATTACTAGCCAGAATATACCAGCAACTCCAAAACAAAGCAAAATTCAACAACAACAAAACCACAACCCATCTGGGTCAGAAGTGGACAAAGGGTCTGAATAGACAGTTCTCAAAAGCAGAAATACAAATGGCCAAGAAATATATGAAAATGTTCAATATCACCAGGCATCCAGGAAATGCAAACAGAAGCCACAATGAGATATCGCCTCTCCCCTGTCAGGATGGCTGTTACCCAAAAGACAGAGAACAACAAGTTGATGAGGGTGTGGAGAAAGGGGAGCTCTGCAGACTAGGGTATAAGATGTATACAAACCGGCGCTGCGGCTCACTAGGCTAATCCTCCGCCTGCGGCACTGGTACTCTGGGTTCTAGTCCCGGTTGGGGCACCAGTTCTGTCCCAGTTGCTCCTCTTCCAGTCCAGTTCTCTGCTGTGCCCCAGGAAGGCAGTGGAGGATGGCCCAGGTGTTTGGGCCCTGCACCCGCGTGGCAGACCAGGAGGAAGCACCTGGCTCCTGGCTTCGGATCGGCGCAGCGCACCGGCTGTAGCAGCCATTTGGGGGGGGGGGGTGAACCAACGGAAAGAAGACCTTTCTCTCTGTCTCTCTCTCTCACTGTCTAACTCTGCCTGTCAAAAAAAAAAAAAAAAAAAAAAAAAAAAAGATGTATATGAAATACAAATGAGTTTCATGTATAAAACTAAGTATAAAATCTAAGTATAAACTTAGGTTCCATTCTGAGAACATCTTATTACGTGCTGCACCTGTTCCAAATTCTGAAGCCTGAAACACTTTTAGTCACAAGCAAGATTCAGCAAGATCAGGAAGAGTGAATGTGAGCATCAGGCGGGGAACATTTGAAGGTTGACTAGAGGTAGACAAACAAGATCTTGACTCTGTCGCGGATTCACACAGTGGCCTTGGACAGGCGTCTTCACCTGCCTTGGCCTGTTACTTCCTTGGGGACCAGAGGTTACTGATGCACTGACTTCTATCTTTGCGATGTTCTTTCTTTCCATGGCAGTAGCTGTTTCCTTCTGAACTGTGTCCAGGTTCTCCCCATGCCACAGACACCTCCTGGTGCCTGGAAGAGGCCTGGTGAGGCCCATAGTTGGAGGGCACACTGCTGCCTGGTCCCCAGGGCTGCATTCCCGTCGGTGATGACAGTGGTGGAACCAGCCACCTGACTCACAGAGCTACACTGCCCAGACATCAAGGGACTCCAAATTAGAGGATAAGACACTGGTGTAGTTTAGTAGGATGAAAGAATAATGCAGCCTTGTTGGTAATACCATAAAACTAAGCTTTCCTAATGTTAAAGGTGCACTTGCTAATTGGACATCCGGCATACCTTCGAGCTAAGTGCAGTGGCTGAGAACATGGACATCCTGCCAGACTCATGCAAATTAAGTTCTTCCTCTTGCACTGAATGGCTCTAGGTTGTTGGTCTTCACTGCTCCTGTTTTTCCTGAAGTAAAACAGAGTGAGTAATAGGACCTAAGCCATGGTGTCAGGGCAAGAATGAAATTATAAAGAGTTAAATGTTGCAAGAACAGCTCCCGAACTTTCTCTGTTCACAGCGCCCTCAACGTCTCATTAACGTTGTTCCTGCTTCCTGCGGGGCAAAAAGGAACGAGGAACAGCTGCATGCATGAAGCAGTTAGCTCCAAAGGATGTAATAAGTACCTGTGTCATCACAGCCTAGCAACCATTTGGGGGAAAAAGTACATAAATAGAAAGAATAATATGTTTGTTTCATTTTTTTTGACAGGCAGAGTGGACAGTGAGAGAGAGAGACAGAGAGAAAGGCCTTCCTTTGCCGTTGGTTCACCCTCCAATGGCGCGGCCGGCGCACCGCGCTGATCTGATGGCAGGAGCCAGGTGCTTCTCCTGGTCTCCCATGGGGTGCAGGGCCCAAGCACTTGGGCCATCCTCCACTGCACTCCCTGGCCACAGCAGAGAGCTGGCCTGGAAGAGGGACAACCGGGACAGAATCTGGCGCCCCGACCAGGACTAGAACCCGGTGTGCCAGTGCCACAAGGCGGAGGATTAGCCTAGTGAGCCGCGGTGCCGGCCCTTTTTTGTTTGTTTGTAATGATGGTTATTTAAGAATGAAACAAACAAACAATCAACTGTGGGCATGCGCCAGGGATGGGTTCTATAGGCCCCATGAAAGTCAAAATCCAAGTATGCCCAAAGACTTATATAAAATAGTGTAGTATTCACACATAACCTACGCATGTCCACCTGTACCCTTCAAATCATCTCTAGACGACTCATGACACCTAACACTATGTAAATAGTTGTCACTGTGTATTGTTTAAGGAATAAAGACAAGAACAAGAAGTCTGCACGTGTCCAGTCAGACACAACTGGTTCCCCAGACACTTTCCACCTGAGGTCGTCTGCATTCCAAGCTGCGGGTCACACAGGGACACGAGGCTGAAGAGTGCGCGTGCATTCGTTGGGTACTGCACAGCCGCAGAAACTCCAGAGAGCAGACTAAACACCGCTATGCTCATCGCCTATCCCGTGTGGATTTCCAGGCTGTAGTTGTGTTTTACTACAGCAATGGCTGAGAACCAAACTTTGACGTCATCAGAAGGAAGATAGCCCGATCTCATGCTGACACTGGGGACGACCTCCAACTACCAGCTTGCAAGGTGCGCTAGAGAAATCGGGCATCACCCTGTCTCCCTTGAAATTTGAAGCAGCCCAAAACATGCTTTGCGTTAGCGGCAGCATCGTGGGGGCACTGGCTGTCTGTGTAGGACTTCTGAGAGAAAGCACTCAGAAACTGCTCCCCCTCCTCTGCTCTGCTCTTCTCCCTTACCACCTTCCTCCTCTTTCCTTCCTCTTACCCTCTCTTGCATTCCTAACCACCTGTTCATTGCCTTCCTCTCCTTTGCTTCTCTACGAACTCCTGGAAGCTGCATCAGTTTCATCCTGGGTCTTCAGGGTCCAGCACAGGCTGGAGCAGAGAAAAGTGAAGTGAAGTGAAGTGAAGTGAAGTGAAGTGAAGTGAAGTGAAGTGAAGTGAAGTGAAGTGAAGCGAAGCGAAGCCCTACTGGTCTCCAATCTTGTGGACCCTCAATGGTCAGCACCATCCCACTGTTTCGTTCCCTTTTCCCAGACCAAATAAACACCTTCCAGGAAATACTGAGCTGAATCTCGCACATGTCTAAACCATGACCTGACAGTTTGATTTGAAAATTTGACATAATTAATCCCAACCGTGAACTCACTTCCTTCCTGCTTCCCACTTCTTGGGCTGCTAAAGCGGTTCCACTTGGGGCTGGCATCGTGGCACAGTTGGGTGAGCTGCCATTTGCCAGCTTGGCATTCCATATCACAGCATGGTTTGAGTCCCAGCTACTATGCTTCCAAACCAACTTGTTGCTAATGCACCCAAGAAGGCAGCAGAAAATGGCCCAGGAACTTGGACCCCTGCCACCTACACGGGAGACCAGTCTGGACTTCCTGGCTCTTGGCTTTGGCCTAGTCCAGTGCCAGCTACTGTGGCTATTTGGAGAATAAACCAGTGGATGCAAAATCTCTCTACCTCTGTCTCTCTCTCTCTTTCTCTCTCTCTCTCTGATGCTCTGCTTTTCAAATAAATACATAAATAAATTTTAATAGTTCCATTTGATACTTATATTAAAAATTAGCTGAGATCCAATTAATAGAACTTTAAATGGTGCAATGTTTCTCAGAGTGGGGTTCTCGGGCCACCTTAATTAGACTGACCAAGAGTGCCTGTCCCCCAGCATCCGTGTCACGGAGGAAAGGCTGGTGCACATGGATCATTGGACACGTCACAAGAAGGGACACAGTGGTGGGCAAGATCCTTGGTGAGAGGATCAGAGGATCCTCTGATCAAACAAGACCGAGATCCCAACAGCAGTAATGGCATGACGCGATTGCCCAACCAATTAGATGGGCAGCTGCCTGCAGAGGATCATGGGATGGACTCGGGGCTTCTGAGATCTTCTTGTCTCGGTGGTTCAGTGTGAATGCAACAGCAGTACCTGATGCCCAAACGCCATGTGTCAGCAGAGGGAGAGGGAGAGGGCGAGGGAGAGGGAGAGGGAGAGGGATAGGGATAGGGATAGGG